TTTATTTTTCGTACAGAAATTTCTTTACGAGTTCGTGTCAACCACTTCATATCATTTTCTTTGAAAATTCGTAAAAAAATCATTACAGAAATGAGATACTCCTAACGATTTCCTTAAGATTTCGGGAACTTTGGTTTGCAGGGTACATGCATACGTTTGTCTCGATAACTACTCGAAATTGCTCGTGAGAAAAGAAAGTTACTCATACGCCACGTACACCCGAGTAACACACTTTCCTGCTCGTATTTCACTCATTATTTCGTATTTATCCATCGATTTTCTTCATCAGTAACTTGATTTTTTTTTGTAACAGAACGGGCTTTAGTAAAAATGCAAAAATTTGGCACAGAACCTGCTATTTTTTAACGTTTCTTCTGTTAAAGTTTGGTTTTTTTTTTTAATTTTTTCTTTTAAAAATCAAAAAAGCTGGAATGTTTAATTAATTTGTCAGAAGTTATAAGCCCTATCGGAAAGTGATGTATATACGGTTTGTGAAGAGTTTCATTGGCTTTCATTTTCCGTATTTTATATTCAGATTTTTAAATTGGTTAGTAAGATATACGTGATTAAAAGGAACCAATTTTTACTATAAGCTGAATAAAGGTAAATTGCAAATATCTCGAAAACTTATCCGTAGAAAAACATATTAACTAGATTTTTGGAATCAGCGAGCAATTCTACATAGGAATTGGATAATGGCATCCATAGAACATTTTTGCTGTAAATCAGTGGTATTAGTCTTTCAAAAAATTTTGCTTAGTTGAAAAAATTATTTTGAGCCATGAGGAAATACAGATGAAGTCCTTAAATAGTGGTACTTTTCCACAGTTTTAACAAATATGTAATTTTGTTTTTTTCAGGACCACTCTCAAACGTAGCACTGTATATTCACATAAAATAAAAATCATTAAAATCGGCTCAGTATTGTAGGGCTTTTCGCATTAGAAAACATTTTCTTTCAATTTTATATAACACAGCTCGACATGACAATTTTCTCCGATATAAGGCTAGCCATTTCTAATACATTTTTTGGGTCGCTAAATTTGTAAAAATGGAATCTTATGTATTTGAATTTTAAGAAAATAAGACCTATAGCAAAATCGGCTAAAAACGGGTAATCTTTATTTAGAAAACGGCTAACGAATCGGCTGCCGGTTAATGTATATGAGAATTGAAGTCGGTTGTGTTTTTTATTTAAAATATACTTGTTTAATAAAAAGTACCATTAACACAAGATGCGCTCAACTTTCAAAAGTATTAAAAAATGATAAAAAGGAGTTTTAATGTTAATTTTCCTCGATTTCTGGCTTATCGCTTTCGATAGAGATGGTGATTTTTCACGACTGCCTAATTTTTTGAATATTTCGAATACCGAAAAAATTTAACTGAACAAGTATTTATCATTTTGGTGTGGTATGAGTTACAGCAATTCAAACTTCAAACTCTCTTTGTAGCCAACCTCAACTTTTTGGAGGGTGAGACTTGAATTTTTTTCTAAATCAAATATAAGGGACGCCCTACATAAGTACTGCAAATACACACACACACACCCATCCACAGTTGACCACTCGTTATTAGTGCGACTGTTGCATATTTGTGGGCGCGCACTTAACCAGCTTCTATTTGCATGTTTTACATGAGCACAAGTTTTGTTTTTTTTTTTGGTTTACGAAATGATTGATGTCCCAAAAACCCAAGTGTACACACACACATAAATACACACTTGCTCACATGATGGCACAATCAAACAAAAGCTGTCATGCAGGCCGGTAAATTATACGCCCTGTACAACACTTTGCCCTAAGTGAATTTGAATGTTTGTAAGCTAGAAAAACTAACAATGTATGTATACACATTATACCGGGTTTGTCACGAAACGATAGACAACACTTTGCAATGAAATGTTTGATTGCTTGCTTTGAGAGAATATTAAGGTCGTACAAATTTTCGTGCTTGGAGATTCCTAAAAAGAGCCAAAATCGACTTTTCTTCCTAACTCTTTTATTTATTACTTGATTCCAAAGTGGTGGAAAAGACAATTTTAAATACTGAATATCTTTTTCATTCAGATTTTTCATTTGCCTAGTTCTTACTTACCTTTAGAAAAAAAAATAAGAACAGGGTAAGTTTTTAGAATAAAATTAATTTATAAAAAATCAAAATTTTTAAGGAACAAATTTGTTTATAGAAAAACGAATTTTTGAAAAAGAAATAATATTTTTACGAAAATTTTATATAAAAACGCTTTTTTATAAAAACCTCTTTATAAGAAAAAAGAGTGTTTTTAACAAAAATTAAGAAAAGCGTAAATTTTTAGAAAAAAATTAATTTATAATAATTTTCTAATTTTTAAGAAACAAATATGTCTACAGAAAAACTATTTTTTGAAAAGAGTAATTTTCAGAAAAAATTTATTTGTAGAAAAAAAATAATTCTTAGAATACTAAACATAAGAACCACAGTGTTTAAGGGAAAAATATTTGTATTCAACAATTTTATTAAGCTGAGGCCATAAAGGCCATAAATAACAAAAAAAAAGTGTATTTGAGTAATTAAATGTATATGTATATTGACATAAGGAATACTCGTATGTTTTTGTATTGGCTTCGTAAAACGGAGGGTAGTCGTTGTTTGAACGTTTTCTACATATTGGCTTACAGTCCAGAAATGGATAACCTACTAAGTTCAAAAAACTCAATTTCTACCCCATTACTACTTAAGTAATCGAAGCATTTTCTTCCTGCGTAAAAATAAGTTGCAGTGACTTCAAATTTCTGCTTGAACTGAAGTAAATGTTGAGCAATTTAGGCTGACGGGCAACTAATTTATCAGGGAACGGAATCGGTGTGGACTTTTGTCATTTTATTTAAGTGCATTACTATCAAAGTCGTATTTCAGAACTCAACAACAAAAAGCATGTACTTGATTATTGGTATGTTAGCCGATCTGATTAAGCTTTTCGCACGCCATGGCGTATGAGTTATCAATGAACATTCAACATTTACTAAGGTTGAGAGCAAATGTATGTCACTGTAACTTCTCTGTTTATTAATTTATTTTTACGCTTCGAAGGAAGAAAATTCTTCGTTTACTATTTAAAATGTATAAAGAGTAAAGTTTTATTTAATGGGATAGAAATTGAGTAATTTGAACTTAGTAGGTTAAGAAGGAGTTATATACAGTATTCGAAATTATCATTTCAACAATGTGTCACACTTTGGAATCGAGTGTTGAATCAAAAATTTATGAAGAAAACTGTTTTTAGGACTCGCTAAGGACCCGCTAAGGACGAAAATTTGTTTTAGGGTCATACCTCTCTAAAAAGCTTTCAAACTAGGAGGCGTTATTGCCAACTAATTTTGACGACCCAGCCTAATGTACATACATATGCATAACTATGTGCAAACCGACATACATGCATATATACACGGATAAGTAGGTACGTATTTACAGATTCAAAAATTTAGTTTAGTTGTACACATGTGAATACAAAAACAACACTCTGCTAAGTTGCAGCCATTCATTTACACAAACCCACATACACACGGAACTGACCACTATGGTAAAGTGAACATGTTGTCTGTTGTTTTCATCTAAAATTACAAACAAAAAATTTATTTACGAATGACAAAACATTGTCACGCATAGTTGTTACTTTTGTTAATGCATTAGCTACTGTTATTATTTTATAACTATGGTAATATGTCGCATTAACATCACTTCATAACAGCGATTTAATTTAAGATTATTTGAATTTAAAATTTGTATGAAATGTCAAGTGGAAAAAAGGATATAATGCAAAAATATTTGTGTACATATTTGGGTTAGTATGGAATTAATTTTCCGCCAAAAACAACACTTTAAAGAACAATTTATGCAAATGCACAAATAAATAAACAAATAAATGTATTTGCTAACAATCAAAATTAAGTCAACAATAGGCAGCTGCAAGTGCGCAGAGCATAGCTGCGATTATAAATTAACTTAAACCAACATATGCACAT